AGGAAAACTTGGCTTATTAGGCAAATCGGGCCTTGCATAGTAGGCCGAGAAGTGTGATCTGGCTACTAGGTACGACATATATATATATATATATATATATATATATATATATATATATATATATATATATATATATATATATATATATATATATGTCGTACCTAGTAGCCAGAACGCACTTCTCAGCCTACTATGCAAGGCCTGATTTGCCTAATAAGCCAAGTTTTCATGAATTAATGTTTTTTCGACTACCTAACCTACCTAACCTAACCTAACCTAACTTTTTCTGCTACCTAACTGAACCTAACCTATAAAGATAGGTTAGGCTAGGTTAGGTAGGGTTGGTTAGGTTTGGTCATATATCTACGTTAATTTTAACTAAAATAAAAAAAAATTACCTCATACATAATTAAATGGGTAGCTTTATCATTTCATAAGAAAAAAATTAGAGAAAATATATTAATTCAGGAAAACTTGGCTTATTAGGCAAATCGGGCCTTGCATAGTAGGCTGAGAATTGCGTTCTGGCTACTAGGTACGACATATATATATATAATATATAAAAATATACATGTCATACCTAATAGCCAGACCGCACAACTCGGACTAGTATGCAAGCCCCGATTTGCCCATTAGGCAAAATGATTTTCGTTATTTTAAAAAATCAAACTGATTTATTTGAATTAATATTATTATATTATATTAAGAACATTACTTACTGACTTAGTTATGTTAGGTTATGATAGGCTAGGTTGTAACAGTTGTTGAAGTTATCGGGGAGCCGGTCGGCCGAGAGGACAGCACGCGTGACTTGTGATCCTGTGGTCCTGGGTTCGATCCCAGGCGCCCGCCGAGAAACAATGGGCAGAGTTTCTTTCACCCTATGCCCCTGTTACCTAGCAGTAAAATAGGTACCTGGGTGTTAGTCATCTGTCACGGGCTGCTTCCTGGGGGTGCATGGAGGCCTGGTCGAGGACCGGGCCGCGGGGACACTAAAAAAGCCCCGAAATCATCTCGAGATAACCTGAAGAAGCTTACATGAGTGGAGACGTGTGAGATACCTGACTTAGGAGACTGTCACGGGGATGTGAGGTAAGGGCACACAAACCTCACCTAGAGAGTAGTCTCAAAGGTTGTTATTTATGTATTTATTTAGTTATATTATCCTTATAGTTATAAGGAGCCGGTCGGCCGAGCGGACAGCACACTGGACTTGTGATCCTGTGGTCCTGGGTTCGATGCCAGGCGCCGGCGAGAAACAATGGGCAGAGTTTCTTTCATCCTATGCCCCTGTTACCTAGCAGTAAATAGGTACCTGGGTGTTAGCCAGCTGTCACGGGCTGCTTCCTGGGGGTGGAGGCCTGGTCGAGGACCAGGCCGCGGGGACACTAAAAAGCCCCGAAATCATCTCAAGATAACCATCTCAAGATATACAAGAAGGTACATTGGGGGTTAAGAGAGAACATAGTAATGAAGTTGATTTGACATTCTAGTAAAGCCACTAGCACGCATAGCGTTTCGGGCAAGTCCTTAAACCAACAGATAATTTCAAGTAGATAATTCACAGTATGATTGACAAAAAATGTTTACAGGTACTTTACGGCTTTACTTTACAAGTACAGGTACGGATAATTTTAAGTAGAAAAATTATAGTAAAGTTGATAGAAAATGTTTACAGATACATTGTAAGAAATTTTGAGACAAAAACAAGGATTATAATAATATATAGTAATAACAATGAATAATATATAGTAATAAGAATGGACTATAATGAACAAGGATTACTATAGTAATAACAATGCACTATAATGAACAAGGATTACTATAGTAATAACAATGCACTATAATGAACAAGGATTACTATAGTAATAACAATGCACTATAATGAACAAGGATTACTATAGTAATAACAATGCACTATAATGAACAAGGATTACTATAGTAATAACAATGCACTATAATGAACAAGGATTACTATAGTAATAACAATGCACTATGATGAACAAGGATTACTATAGTAATAACAATGCACTATAATGAACAAGGATTACTATAGTAATAACAATGCACTATAATGAACAAGGATTACTATAGTAATAACAATGCACTATAATGAACAAGGATTACTATAGTAATAACAATGCACTATGATGAACAAGGATTACTATAGTAATAACAATGGACTATAATGAACAAGGATTACTATAGTAATAACAATGCACTATAATGAACAAGGATTACTATAGTAATAACAATGCACTATGATGAACAAGGATTACTATAGTAATAACAATGCACTATAATGAACAAGGATTACTATAGTAATAACAATGCACTATGATGAACAAGGATTACTATAGTAATAACAATGCACTATAATGAACAAGGATTACTATAGTAATAACAATGCACTATGATGAACAAGGATTACTATAGTAATAACAATGCACTATGATGAACAAGGATTACTATAGTAATAACAATGGACTATAATGAACAAGGATTACTATAGTAATAACAATGCACTATAATGAACAAGGATTACTATAGTAATAACAATGCACTATGATGAACAAGGATTACTATAGTAATAACAATGGACTATAATGAACAAGGATTACTATAGTAATAACAATGGACTATAATGAACAAGGATTACTATAGTAATAACAATGCACTATGATGAACAAGGATTACTATAGTAATAACAATGCACTATGATGAACAAGGATTACTATAGTAATAACAATGCACTATAATGAACAAGGATTACTATAGTAATAACAATGCACTATGATGAACAAGGATTACTATAGTAATAACAATGCACTATGATGAACAAGGATTACTATAGTAATAACAATGCACTATAATGAACAAGGATTACTATAGTAATAACAATGCACTATGATGAACAAGGATTACTATAGTAATAACAATGCACTATAATGAACAAGGATTACTATAGTAATAACAATGCACTATGATGAACAAGGATTACTATAGTAATAACAATGCACTATGATGAACAAGGATTACTATAGTAATAACAATGCACTATAATGAACAAGGATTACTATAGTAATAACAATGCACTATGATGAACAAGGATTACTAGGTACAGTAGGATCAAAGTTCAGGGTTATACATTGGTCCACTAAGGCACAATTTGAGGATCATTTCAAGGAATAATGCAGTAGATATGCACTCAATATTTCAACCATGATATCAGATGATATCATGGTTGAAATATCATAAGATTACAATGGTAAAGTAATATGGCTTAGGTACAGATATTGGGGGATTGGATAGCACTATATACAGTGCAAGTTAAAGCACTAGGTAGGAAACTATGAAGATGAAATTAGATAGTTTTTGGTTTTATTTTTGAATAAGGCAAAAGTTAGACAGTTTTTCAATTCATTAGAGAGTGAGTTCCATAGACTAGGTCCCTTTATTTGCATAGAGTGTTTACACAGATTAAATTTGACTCTGGGGATATCAAAAAGATATTTATGTCTGGTGTGGTGAGTATGTGTCTATTACATCTGTCCAGGAAGAGTTTCAGGGCAGGGTTTGCATTTAAGAAAAGGGTTTTATAAATGTAATTGACACAAGAGAATGTATGGAGTGAATTTATGTTTAGCATGTTTAGGGATTTAAACAGGGGAGCTGTGTGTTGGCTGTGTTTATTATTGTCCTGATAGCAGATTTTTGCTGGGTGATGATGGGCTTGAGGGAGTTTGCAGAGGTTGAACACTATGCACAGATACCATAAGTAAGATGGGGATAGATAAGTGTGTAATAGAGCGAGAGGAGAGCAGAGTAGGGTACATAATATCTGATCACTGAAGACTGGCGATGTGGTGTCTACACGGAAACTTCATCACTGCTGTATCTTGACTGTGTACTGGTCCCATTTGATCCAAACATCACAAATGTTGATAATTCTATTCCCTTGATAGGGAAGACAGATTAGGATTTATTATACTGAACTAATTAAATAAATGTATAATACTAAAAACTGTCCATATGGTGTGTCCATTCGTTCCTTTTTTATTCCTTCATTGAGAGTTACCAGGCCCAAGTATCATGTGGGCATCTCTAAGTTTTGGTTACAATTGTTCACATATTAAATTATCTTCCTCCCGCCCGTAATTATCAAAAGTATTTTATAAATACTTGGATGCAAGTGAATAGTGAGAGTCGACTGTCGGCTGTCTAGAGTGGAGTCGAACCCTCTTCCCCCACTGTGCCAATGTCGATATTCCGGAATAAGTCACAGTAAGTGACTGTTCGAGTACGGTGCCCATCATCTTCTTAGAGTAATTAACATCTTCACCTCTCCCGTGGCTAGTACCCATCGCCGTCGTTCACTGTTAAGTACTCATTTTCATCAAAGACGAAGGTCGTGTCATACACTGCTCCAACACACTGCTCCTGACCCTAGCACAGCACTGCCCTGCCTCAGTACCTGGCTGTGTCCTACACTGCACCAACACTAACACACTGCTCCTGACCCTAGCCCAGCACTGCCCTGCCTCAGTACTTGGCTGTGTCCTACACTGCACCAACACCAACACACTGCTCCTGACCCTAGCCCAGCACTGCCCTGCCTCAGTTCCTGGCTGTCCTACACTGCACCAACACTAACACACTGCTCCTGACCCTAGCCCAGCACTGCCCTGCCTCAGTTCCTGGCTGTGTCCTACACTGCACCAACACTAACACACTGCTCCTGACCCTAGCCCAGCACTGCCCTGCCTCAGTTCCTGGCTGTGTAATACACTACACAAACACCAACATATTGCTCAGACAACTTTCCCAATATGCCACCACAACTCTGGGCTAAAAATTAATAACAGACTGTTGTAGAGGTTCATGCAAAATAGAAAAGAACTACAGTAGACTTTGAAAGAACATACAAGCATCCCGTCCCAAACACGACTCGTGAACAGAGGCTGTAGGATAAATACATGTGTGCAACATACATATCTCACCTTAGAAAAGACAAGTGGTACAAACTGCACAAGTTACTCAAGAATCGTATTGTCACACTTGTGTTGGTTGCCTCGTAGCCGGGAATATAGACGACACCTTTGTCACGACATCCTTCTTGTATTGTGTAGGCCAGCACACGAGAGCCATGGACATCCACAACCTAAAACAGTGAATGAGCGTAACATATGGTTATAAACCTGAAAGGCAAGTGTGTACAATTTTCCAGTATTTAAATGAAGATATGTAAGTTTTCCGGTTTATATTGCAACCTGCCACATAAAAGTAATTATACATATAGCGATTGGCTGGAATGTACAGAAATGTAGTTCCTGAAACAAAAAGTTCGGGCTTTGTTCTATTAAACTTGTCTCACCTTACAGATAGCTTCCCCCCCCCCCCCCCCCGCACCTTACCTTAGTTACAGACTCCAGCATCACCACACAGCTCGCAGTATCTCGACACCACCTCGCCATGCTCGAAACTGTAACCATATTGTTAGTTTACTCTTCTGTCAAGGTAGCGTAAAGTGTATGAATCTGCTCTAGGCGCAGTCAAATCACCTACGATAGTCTTTTCCTTTCTTAAGGTCTTAACTTTTGGAGAGTTAAGTATCACATAACTCTTGGGGGAGTGGATAAACGTACACTTCTTTAGTTACTCTTCCCTAGTCCTGTCTAAACTGGATTATGGTTTATGGTTGCGGCACACACTCCGTCTCCGTGACCCTCCGTTGTCCTGATGCTCCGTATTGTGTGACATTGTGCAGACTCTGGAAACTTTCAGTCTTCACTAGTACAGAGTTTGTTAGTGACTGGTGTCCTGTCCTTGCATGATGGTCGTGATCAGTATTGTCACTGATATTACACGCGCTCCCTTCAAGAATCCTATCCTTATTTGTATTGTTGTTCTTCTTCTTCTTCATTTAGGGGCGACGACGATCGAGTGATCAGATGCACCCGGGCGTGCCCGTAAAGGGTTAATCGCGAAGCCTAATGGCAATGACGCCTGTCGGCGGAAACTCGTGTGCCTCGCGCCCAATAAACATGCAGATATGCAGATGATTGAAAAGCCCCTAGAGTCCCTCAGGGTGACAAGCACCGGCCCCGCCCCACACAGAGAACACTGGGGAGCCCCTAGAGTCCCTCAGGGTGACAAGCACCGGCCCCGCCCCACACAGAGAACACTGGGGAGCCCCAGGAGTCCCTCAGGGTGACAAGCACCGGCCCCGCCCCACACAGAGAACACTGGGGAGCCCCTAGAGTCCCTCAGGGTGACAAGCACCGGCCCCGCCCCACACAGAGAACACTGGGGAGCCCCTAGAGTCCCTCAGGGTGACAAGCACCGGCCCCGCCCCATACAGAGAACACTGGGGAGCCCCAGGAGTCCCTCAGGGTGACAAGCACCGGCCCCGCCCCACACAGAGAACACTGGGGAGCCCCTAGAGTCCCTAAGGGTGACAAGCACCGGCCCTGCCCCACACAGTGAACACTGGGGAGCCCCAGGAGTCCCTGAGGGTGACAAGCACCGGCCCCGCCCCACACAGAGAACACTGGGGAGCCCCAGGAGTCCCTCAGGGTGACAAGCACCGGCCCTGCCCCACACAGAGAACACTGGGGAGCCCCTAGAGTCCCTCAGAGTGACAAGCACCGGCCCCGCCCCACACAGAGAACACTGGGGAGCCCCAGGAGTCCCTCAGGGTGACAAGCACCGGCCCTGCCCCACACAGAGAACACTGGGGAGCCCCAGGAGTCCCTCAGGGTGACAAGCACCGGCCCCGCCCCACACAGAGAACACTGGGGAGCCCCTAGAGTCCCTCAGGGTGACAAGCACCGGCCCCGCCCCACACAGAGAACACTGGGGAGCCCCTAGAGTCCCTCAGGGTGACAAGCACCGGCCCCGCCCCACACAGAGAACACTGGGGAGCCCCTAGAGTCCCTCAGGGTGACAAGCACCGGCCCCGCCCCACACAGAGAACACTGGGGAGCCCCAGGAGTCCCTCAGGGTGACAAGCACCGGCCCCGCCCCACACAGAGAACACTGGGGAGCCCCTAGAGTCCCTCAGGGTGACAAGCACCGGCCCCGCCCCACACAGAGAACACTGGGGAGCCCCTAGAGTCCCTCAGGGTGACAAGCACCGGCCCCGCCCCACACAGAGAACACTGGGGAGCCCCAGGAGTCCCTCAGGGTGACAAGCACCGGCCCTGCCCCACACAGAGAACACTGGGGAGCCCCTAGAGTCCCTCAGGGTGACAAGCACCGGCCCCGCCCCACACAGAGAACACTGGGGAGCCCCAGGAGTCCCTCAGGGTGACAAGCACCGGCCCCGCCCCACACAGAGAACACTGGGGAGCCCCTAGAGTCCCTCAGGGTGACAAGCACCGGCCCTGCCCCACACAGAGAACACTGGGGAGCCCCTAGAGTCCCTCAGGGTGACAAGCACCGGCCCCGCCCCACACAGAGAACACTGGGGAGCCCCAGGAGTCCCTCAGGGTGACAAGCACCGGCCCCGCCCCACACAGAGAACACTGGGGAGCCCCAGGAGTCCCTCAGGGTGACAAGCACCGGCCCCGCCCCACACAGAGAACACTGGGATGCAAAACCAAAAACTTGGCCCCCAACTGAAACGCCGAGTCATCAAGTGTCCTCCGGCAGAGCAGAAGCCAGCCTCCCACCACGTCTGAGGGCACACCTGGAGCCCACCACACCAAACTCCCGGCACATCTCGGCCAAGTCGGCGCCGACCACCGTCTCCCAGCCCGAAGAACTAGCCAGAAAACGTTCAAAATCTATCAACTATCCTGTGACCCAAGGTGATATGTGCGCTAGGCGTCATAACAATCCGGAGATAGAAATGTCCGGATTGAATAGAAATGCGAGACGGCAGTATCAAAATCCAAAATCGCGAAACATACAACCCATTCTTGACTCAAGTCCATTACATCCAGCAGTCGACCCCACAGATGCATTCATAAATTGTTACATGCTGTACATTCAAAACGGGAATTTTTCCAAATATAACTTAATATTATAATATATTAGCAGATTGTACATATATAGGCATAGGTTAGATTAGTGTCAGAGGTTTCCCTCTGAGCTAGCTTACATTTATTAGATAGTAGAATATAACTGGATATTTTGGTCTTAGAAAATTTCAGGGGTGTGCACGGGTGTGCAACAAAGGCTTGGTGCACACCCGTGCACCAAGCCTATCTCCTACACTATCTCCCTTAGTGTAGGAGATAGGAGGTCGAAATTGGGTGTCTTTAGAAAGCAGATGCCTTCAGCTATCCGGGGAACCAAGGATCATTGCTGTAGCACTTCTGGGTGAAGAGTTACAGGTTTTGCCTGAATTTATGCATAAGACACATAGTAACAGGGAGAGAGAAGAGGGAAGTAGGCACTGGCTCAAGTGTTTAACGGTTCCCCTGCTGATGACGTGACGTCACCAGCCGGCTCCCTTCCCATTGGATCCAGCACCACGAGGCCCTAGGCCGAGCTCGAACCCGATTGGTCGAGCCTGGCACAAGGGGACACGTGCCCCGGCCTGCCCGTCAAAATGCCAGTATTCTGTCCTTAAGTAAGTAAGTAATTATCAAAAGAAGGCACCAAACTGGGAAGGCTATGTAGCACCATCAAATACGCAAAATAATCAGAGGGCGCTAAATATCACCAAGGATGCCAATACGAGAACAAAAACGCATAAGGCGAACGATATCAAAAGTATCCGAGTCACCAAGAATTCTATCGAGGGAAAGGTGACCGCGAGGGGCGGTCGGAAAGCAAGACACACACTCGTCCTGGAAGTCAGGACATTCAAGAAGGACATGCACGACCGTAAGAGGGACAATACAACTAGGACAATAAGGAGCAGGGCGGCGCTCCATCAAGTGACCATGGGTTAAGCGAGTATGGCCAATACGCAACCTCGCCAGAGCTGTTTCCCACCGCCGGTTACGGTGGAAGGAGGACGGCCACGAGGAAACACAACATTTAAGAGTACGTAGCTTGTTACCAGTAACAGACAACCAAGAAGCCTGCCAACGGGTAAGGACTGACGACGACTCCCAGATCCGATTATACAGACTCAGTAAATACTGAGACGTGCTCGGAGGGAGATGGCGAAGCATCTCATAATGAATACCATCGGAGCCCGCCGCTGTAGAACCGCAGAGGGCCAGGGCAGAACGAAGTTCAGAGAGAGAGAAGGGATCATTATAGGGAAGCTGAAGATGAGTGCAGAAATCTAAAGGACGAGACTCAAGGACAGGTTTACGAAGAAGGAAAGATTGGGGAAGATGAAGACCAGAGCTAACAGAAGAAAAGTGGGAACCCAGTTCGGAAGCGACCTGCAACGGGTCCGCCACAAGAGTATCATGGAGGTGAAGGATCGGTGAAACATCGGGAACGAACTTACCCGCTATCTTGCGGATACGCTTCCAGATCTGGGCCAGAGGGGTTTCGGACGTAATTGTTGAGACATAAGATGCCCAACATTCACGTTTAGCCGTATGGATGGCCCTACGGGCCACCGCACTCGCTTTCCGAAAGAAAAGAAAAGAATCGGTCGTCTGCCTACGGCGGTGCCTCTTTCAGGCTGCACGCTTACAGCGGACAGCCCGAGCACAGTCCACATTCCACCAGGGAACGCACTTCCGTGGACCCCGGGAGGAAGAGCAAGGGATAGAGCGGAGGGCAGCGTTGAAGACAGTGTCATGAAAAAGGAGGAGAGCGCGAGAGAGAGGCAGAAGGGAGAGGTCAAAGAGAGAGTAGCACTGAGGGAAAATAGGGTCCAGTCCACCTTAGCAAACTGCCACCTAGGGAAAGAGAGGGAAGGGCGAAAAGAGAAAAAGGAAACAAGGATGGGGAAATGATCACTTACATGGAGGTCATCAAGAACCTGCCACGTGAAATCTAAGTAAAGAGAAGAAGAGCAGAGAGAAAGATCAAGACAAGAAAGGGTGCGAGTCCGAGAGTCCAAATGAGTGGGCTCACCAGAATTCAGAAGAGACAGGGAAGAAGAGAGGAGAAACGGCTCAAGAAGGCGACCCCGGGTATTCGTCAGAACGTCACCCCAAAGAGAATGACGACAATTGAAGTCACCCAGCAGGAGCACAGGCTCCGGCAAGGAGTCTAGGAGGTGTTTCAAATCAGGAAGAGAAA